ATTATGGCAATACCCTCTTGGCTGTAAATGGATTCCTGGCTGCAGTTCCAGTTGCATTGATGCTGGGATTTAGGCATGATGGTAGCCCTGTGAGCTCTGATGAGGCTATGGGCATTGGTAAGTAGAAGCTGCCATTGTGGAAAAGCATTCTCATCCGTATGTCTGGAGAAGGAGAAACAGTAGGCATTAGAGAGAAGAACGTGCTCATGTGAAGGGGTCAGACGTAAAGATAATCCTGGTGGAGAGAGGGAGATGGGGGCTGATGTCAAGTCAGAGAAGAGGAGGGGGAGAGGGAAGGGGAGGGGAGGAGGGTTCTTAGTTGTTTTCCAGTTCCTGGGTTTTGGCTCTCATAAGGTGATGCCTGGCCTTGGGATTTGTGAGATACTAGGGATTTTTATGCAAAGCTCCTCTCTATCTGTCTCTGTCTCTCTGTCTCTCTCTCACACACACCCTCTCCACACTACTTTGAATAAGTTTCTAGTCTTCTATTGGTAACCAGAAGACCTTTGACTAAGACAAACAGAGCCTACTTCTAGTTGTTTCTGATCCCAGCAAGAGAGGATAATCCCCATTTCTTCCTGAATTGGTAAAATGTAGCTATGGAAACTTAGATCTGGAATTCTACAATCCATTTATTTTAGTTTTGAAGTGGTAGTATCCAAGGAAGCTATGGCTTACCCAAGGTCAAGCGATAGCAAACAAAATTAGAGAGAAAGAGGTCATATGGATCTTCATATTTCATATGAATCTTCCGAGATCCAAGGCATGTAAGTGTGATAGTTGCTTAGGGTTGGGTTACAGAATAAAAAGGTAGCTCACTGAATAGCAGGCCAACTCAGAGGAGGAACACTGGGAGATGGAAGGAGACAGGTACTCAACTTTACCTAGGCACCTAGATTCAGCCATGGCTGTAGTTGTTTAACTCTTGAATTTTCAGCCACTGTGTTTACTATTCTATTATTATTTTATTATGTTTTTGTGTGTGGTGAGATATAGGCATGCCATAGCAAGTATGTGGAAATCAAAAGACAACTTTCAGGATTAGGTTCTCCATTTCCACCATGGGGGTCCTAAGGATTGAACTCAGGTCCTCAGGCTTAACAGCAGGTAACTTTACCCATCTTGGCTGTTCAGCATTCTTTGCTTAAGCTATTTTGAATTGCCTTTCTAATGTAGTCACCCCTGGGTGTCTGAGAATTGCTTTTGGGATCTGTCATTTACCAGCATCCATGGTTGCTCAACTCCTTTAAATAGAATAAGATAATGTTTTTTGTTTGATTTATGCATGGTCTCCTGTATACTTTTAATTGCCTCCAAACTATTTACAATACTGAATTAGTTAGGGTTTCCATCACTGTGATAAAAACATGACCAAAAGCAACTTAGGGAGGAAAGGGTTAATTGCATCTTACAGCTCTCAAAGAAGTCCAGCCAGGAGCTCAAGTAGGAATCTGGAGGCAAAGGCTCTGGAGGAATAGTACTTAGTGGCTTGTTCCCCATGGCTTTCTCCGCCTGCTAACTTGCTTTCTTTTAATAGAAGAATTTATCGGGGACTTACAGTTTCAGAGCAAGGTTAGTTGAATCCATGAGTAGCACAGCAGTAAGCCTGATAGCAGCAGGCAGGCATGGTACTGGAGCAGTGGCTGAAAACCTACATAAACTCATTAACTTCCTCAGATTCTAGACCCAGAGCTAGCACACACACACACACACACACACACACACACACACACACAACTTTGGGATATTGACAAGCTTGGGGCTCTAGCTTTGGGGATGGATCTAGATTTGAGCCTTTTAGAGGACTATCAACAACAACAAAAGTAAAAACTAGCAAATGGCGTATTCAAAAACCACATTCTGAATGAGCTTTCCTAGCCAGAAGATAGGATTGTTGACCGAATTCACTCCCCTGAGCTTTGTAGACACCTAGGGTAAATTTCAATGATTCTTTTATGTAAATTTTAATTTTTGTTCATCTCTCAGTTTCACTTTTCTTCACATTTGTTTTCAAGGAGACAAACTTTTGTGCAAACCCCACTCTCTGTGTCCCTATACTCCCCCTCTCCCTCTGCTCGCCCTCCAGACTGTGTTTCAGGGGTGCCCTCTCCTTCATCCTGGGTTGCTCTTTTGTATGTCACGCCTCAGATGTTGGCTCAAACCACACAGGCCTCCACCAACTGTGGAGACTGTCTCCTGACAGGATGCGACTGCCTTGGGCTCAGACCAAGGGTGAACATGGAGACACCTAGTTCCCCCTGCTGTGGAATCATGAGGCTGTGTAGGTGAAGCCGGTTCTGCCAAAGAGTAGACTGAACAAATGGACTTGCCACATGGGAGTGAACAGGAGGTCCGCTTGTGTGTTAAAGCAGCCTTACTCAAAAGGAGATTTAAAAAGCCAGAGGACCGAAGCCAGGTGGGTGGAAATCTGGCTTTAGCCTGAGTATAGGGCAGACTCTGCTCCTCCAAACTGAGCTAAGACCTCCCAGCCCGTGCGTATGCATCTGCCTTTTCTTTTTCCCAGTGCGCAGCTGCCAAAAGCCAGGTGGTAATTTTTAAAGACAGCAAGGCGTCTGAGCAGAAATAGTTTCCTAAGTGCAGTGAAGACTGCTCAACTCTCAGCTTGCTGGTAGTAATAAACGTTCACTTCCTTCTACTTCCAGGCCATGGTAATAGGCTCATGGGACCACAAGAAAAGGAGTTCTGTAGGCCCTGAAGTTCCTTCACCCACTGACAGCACGAAAGACCTGGTAGGCGCTCAGAAGGGTACACCATCCTGCCCTTGGGACTGGAATACTTGGGCTGCTTCCCAGGACTAGCCCAAGGCAGTGGAGGCTTGATGAAGGTTGATGCTCTTATCTAAGCAGAAGTAGCTTTCTCAGTCATCTAGGGAAACTGAGGTTCAAGTGGAACACTTTCTGGAATAGATTTGTGCTTTGATATATGGACAAGCTGTTAACTAAAGCAACCGTAAGCAGAACTGCTTCCCTTTCTCTATCTGTGACCCTCAGGGAAAGGCGATTTTGCCCTCCAGATTAACACATGTTTAAGTGTCAGAACAAGGTAAAATTAGAAGGATGCTTGAAAGATCTTGTGTTGCCCATTTTGCAACTTTGTAACTTTTTACTGAAGTTTTGTAATTGTTCTGCCTCTGTTGTTTCTACTACTGCAAGAGAAATTTAAACAAACTCAAACGCTTATTTAGTGGTCCACCATTCAAAAACTTATTTAGTGGTCCACCGTTCCGGAAGCAGAGAGTACATCTCAGACATGAATAAATGGTTTCTTGTCTCAGGGCATCTCAAGACTGTAGCATCATCCAGGTACAATTCTTGTCTGGAAACTTTGAGAAAGTCAACTTAAGCTTATTCTTTAAGTCTGCTTTCTTACTATTGGTTGTTGGCTAGGATTGTTCTTAGCACCTGTTCCCAGCCAGGTGCCCACCTCCGTCTCTAGTGATGAATCCATGGCACACTGGATATTCTCCAGGATGTATCCATGTCCTTTTTAAGAGCTCACCTCACCAGGCTCACAGAGGATCATCTCTCTCTGAAGTGCATCTGCAAACTCGAAGAACAGCACCTAGATTAGTATCTGACAGGATAATTAGCAGGCCATTTAGGTTCTGTGTAAAGCTGTATGTTCCTTGAGGGCAAAACTATGCCTCATGCATCCTTGGTACCCAATAGATACTCCACAGTTGGGTCACTGAACTAAACTGGTTTCAAGGAAGACGGGTGAAATCAGGAAGTTGTTTTACAGGGTGAAGTGCTAGATAAGCTAAGAAAAAGAAAAAGATGCAGACATGTGTGTTGTGCAGGATGCCTTTGAGCTGCTCACTGTCTCTTCCTTCACTCAGAGCCTGATGGATACACTATAAAGATTCTGCTTCAGTTGACTAGGGGGGAGCCAAGGGAATGAAATTTCTTACCCCAGTGATGATCAAAGCAGACAACTGTAGAACAACACCCCTGGCCTTTTGGGAATAAGAGGTGCATTAGCTGGACTTGGCTAGAATGCCTGCTCACTAAGGTAGAGACCTACCCTTCATGTTTACAGCCCCAGCTAGCAAGGCACACTTTAAAAATAACCACTGATGGATGTTTATAGAATGGATACTATTTAATGTGTCCCTCCCTGAAGCCGAGTGTTCAGGCGAGGACTCTTGCACCCGCTGTAATCCAGTGTGCATGTTGGGCACGCAGTATCCTGAACATTCAACAGGTGTGGCCAATGTCAGGCTGTCTGCTTTCCCAGCGAGCTGGGGATGTGGCTCAGTGGTAGCAAGCCTGCATAAGAAAAATACGACCCTCGGTTCAATCTCCAGGAAACTCAAACCAGAACCCCAAACTAATCAACAAAACATTTGGCCATTCTAGATCATACAACGTAAACGCAAGCCTAATAATTGTGAAGACATTTGTGAAAGCACTGAACTTTTTTGTTGGGGGGGGGTTCGAGGTAGGGTTTCTCTGTGGCTTTGGAGGCTGTCCTGGAACTAGCTCTTGTAGACCAGGCTGGTCTCGAATTTACAGAGATCCACCTGCCTCTGCCTCCCGAGTGCTGGTTTAAACTGAACTTGATGTACACTTCCCAATCAGTCTGGAAGACACATTCAGGGTTCCTTGGAGGACAGAATTTTGGTTTCTGTAGATAGCAAAGCTGTTTTCCTAGGCTCCCGCGGCACATCTACCATCAGCCCTAGCAAGAGCCATGCAGTCTGTAGTCCTGGGAGCGTTTAGAGCGGACTCCGGAGCAAGCCTACCATTCCGGCTCCACACCAAGGCTCGGGATCCAGCCCCGCCCCACCCTGCCACCACCTGCGGAGACGGTAGCCCCGCCCACATCCTCACATCACCGGGCTGGGGCCGCGCCGGGTCGGGCTCCGAGGATTGGCCAGGGCTCGTGACGTCACGAGCCGGGGCGGGCCCCGGGCTGGTGTGGGGCGGGGGGCCCGGGTGCTTGGGTTCCTTTCAAGCCGGGCGGCGGGGGTGGGGGCGGGGCGGAGGCGGAGCGGGCGGTGTAAACAGACCCGGGAGCCGCGAGCCCCGGAGGAGGCGCGGGCGGCGCCGCCATGGACTTCCAGCAGCTGGCAGATATCGCGGAGAAGTGGTGTTCCAGCACGCCCTTCGAGCTCATCGCCGCCGAGGAGAGCGAGCGCAGGATGGACTTCTATGCCGACCCGGGCGTATCCTTCTACGTGTTGTGTCCCGACAACGGCTGCGGCGACAGTTTCGTGAGTACCTGGGAAAGGCGAGCTCCGCTGCGCCCGAGCCCCTCCAGGGAGGCCGGGTGGGGCGGAGTGACAGCGGCGGGGAGCCCGGAGCCGCGGAGCCGACGCGTGGCGACCTCCCGGACCACCCTGTGCCCGGCGCGTGGCTCGGAGAATCCCCAGGGAGTCCCTGTGTGGCATCCACCGGGCGGGGCGCGTAGCCCCTGCGTGTAGATCCAAGGTCCGGTCCGGGGAGGTATCAGTCCCTCGAGGTCTCAGAAACAACTCTGAAGCCGCCCCTCCCGGCAAGGCCCCCGCCCCAGGCTGCGAGTCCCTCGGAAGGACACAAAGCCTCTGTCTACACCCGCAGTGCTAGATCTTTTGGACCCCATTTGCGGAATTAACGCCCTGAGGCTTGAAAATGTATGCGTGTGCACACACGCGCTCGCGCTCGCGCGGGGGGTGGGGGCTGGGGAGGGCGGTCACGCCTATCCCGGGTCCCAGGCTTCCCTAGCTCCTCAATGAACTGCCCCCAAGTGTGTGTCCCTTGTACAGGTTCTGGCCAGCCTTGAGGCTGTTGTGGCCCCACCGAGGCCTTTCAGCTTTTGCAGAGGAAGAACCCACACACCCCGGCCCGGGAGGACCAGGACCAGAACTACGGTTGGCCAAACCTTCGGCCTGTGTGTCGCCCACTAGGGATCCTGGCTCCCACGTTTAGGAAGGGGATGCAGAGAGCACGCGGTTGTGATGGGAGGCGTGGAGGCAGGGCGGGGATGGCGCGCCATGGAGTATTTGTAAGCACTATAAATAATAGTCCCCAAATGTAAGATGGAGGCAGCTGGGAATGAGGGCTATCGTGTGGTCGCTGGCCTGAGGCTGAAGCAGGCGCCGCTGCTGCTGCTGCACAGGGAGATGGGGCGGTGCATCGCTTGGCTCCTCAGGTGGAGTGACAAAGCTGGACATGGACCCCGCGCCCGGTGCACCCGACTCATCCCTGGGAAGTTCATCCTAGGATTCGTGAGACCCTATCTCAAAAAAAAAATCTCACCTGTAGAACAAACAGTTCACAGTCACAGTGAGTCCCTTTTCAAACCCGGACAGGACAAGTGTAGGCTGGTGCACACCTGGCCAATATGCTCCTGGCTTTGGGTGGCCTCTGGATTTGGGTTCTGTCCACTTGTCTTCTCTTGAGATGCCTATCCACTAAATCAGTTTCCTAGTACCAGTTCCCTGGCGATCGTTTAGGCACATCTAGCAGCCCGACGCACATGTGTCCTGCAAATTTTAAGTTCAGAGACCTGGTGTTCCCCACGCGCTTTGTTTAAAAGGATGTAGCTCGGTTGGCAGAGTTCTTGTGCAGCTTGTATAAAGCCCGGGGTTGGGTTCCCAGCACTGCAGAAGTGGAGGTGGGGTGTGTGGGTGTGGGTGTGATCCCTACATTTAGAAAGTTGGAAGCAGAGGCTATCTAGTGAGTTCCAAGTCAGTCTAGGATCCTGAGACCCTCTTTCGGAAGTGATTCCTCACCGCACAACAGTATTCACTGTGGTGACAGGTAAACTATTGATTCATGTAAGCACACATCAGCTGTTCTTAGCATGAGTGAAGTGTTGATCTGAAGGAGGGGATGAGGAAGAGAAAAGGTAATTCCTTGGACCACAATGGACAAGTTACCAACCACAGGTGTTTTCTTAGCCAAATTGTTCCTCGAATCCCTACTAGGCTGAGTGTGTTAAGCGCTTCCCTCTAATTAAGTGGTATCTCTGCTATTTGAAGATTTTGGTAACAGTAAGAATGTTACGTAGCATCTCTCCATTTACAACGTTTTAGATCATTGAAAAGCTTACAAACACTGATCAGGGCTATCCAACATACAAATGGCATTGTGGCTGTCAGGACATTTAGCTAGCTCAGAAGTGGTATAGCGGCCCTGCTTCTGCGAAGACATCCAAGCTCCTGCTTCGTCTGTGTGCTTGGAGACAACATTGAACCCCCCCCGCTGGCTCAAACGGCTGTCAGCTCCTGTCACCTCACTTGACGGGGCAGCCTGTGGTCAGTGCCCGGCAGGGTTACTGGAGAGCACCTCTGCTTAGGCTCAGTGCTCCTGTCTGGGAGCCCGTGTCACTGGAGTCACTGTAAATGCTGCTGACATCCATATGACAGACAGGGCCTGGTCCCAATTCTAAAGGCCTTCTACCTTCCCTCCCCCACTCCCGGGGTCCAGGTCACCACAGTTGTGCCAGCATCGTGGGTAAAGCGTGTACAGTCCCTCTCGTTTCCCTCCGTGGCCACAGCGGCACTGGAGCATGAGCCCTCGAGTGTTTTGCCCTTTCTTGAACTTTCTCCACCAGTCTCTCTAAAGGGTCTAAAGTGTGATCTGCAGCTGGGTGTGGTGGTAGTGGTAAGCCCAGCACGCAGAAGGCAGAGGTGTGTGGGGGGAGGGGGGAGGGAAGTGCCCTCAAGCCTGTCTCCTGACATTTCTAAGTTCCTACAGCACAGGTACTTCCTGCCTCAGGGCTAGTGAAACCTGGGGATCCTGCTGTCTACTGCTGGGTTATAAGTTTTTACATGGGTACTGGGGATCTGAACTCGGGTCCTCAGGCTTGTACAGCAAGCACTTTACCCACGGAGCCTTCTGCCCAGCCTTGAAAGGTGACTTCTTATTGGGCCTCACAAATTTTCTGTGACGTAGATGGTATACCCATTTTATAGATGAGGAAACTGAGGCTTAGTGTGTAAGAGACTCTGATAGCCCAGACCTCTGTGCCCTCCAGAGGCCCAAGGACAGAAATTCTTTTCATTGCCACGCTCCTAGGCAGCTTGTTGTTGTCTCCTCATTTCTCAGACTGCCTGCCAATGTAACCCCTTTCCAAACTGTCCACCATGCCGGGAGTTGTTGCCACCCAGGCAGAGGGGGCAGGAACTCAGCAACCGGATGGCAATTCCTTCTTCTACCAACTCAGAAGGTCTTGACGGCTATCAGGCCTGAGAAGGGGAATATGGGCAGCCATTCAGGCACCAGGAGGACAGAACTGTGTGTGTGTGTGTGTGTGTGTGTGTGTGTGTGTGTGTGTGTATGAGCAACTATGCAGGTGAGTGTGTGTATGTGTGTGCGTATGAGCAATTATGCAGGTGTGTGTGTATGTATGTGTGTGTGCATGAGAAACTATGCAGGTGTGTGTGCATGAGAAACTATGCAGGTGTGTGTATGTGTGTGTGTGAGCAACTGTGCAGGTGTGTGTATGTGTGTGTGTATGAGCAACTATGCAGGTGTGGTGTATGTGTGTGTGTGCATGAGCAACTATGCAGGTGTGTTTGTGTGTATGTGTGTGTATGAGCAACTCTGCAGGTGTGTGTGCATGAGCAACTATGCAGGTGTGTATATGTGTGTGTGCATGAGCAACTCTGCAGGTGTGTGTGCATGAGCAACTATGCAGGTGTGTATATGTGTGTGTGCATGAGCAACTATGCAGGTGTGTGTGCATGAGCAACTATGCAGGTGTGTTTGTGTATATGTGTGTGTGCATGAGCAACTCTGCAGGTGTGTGTGCATGAGCAACTATGCAGGTGTGTATATGTGTGTGTGCATGAGCAACTATGCAGGTGTGTGTGCATGAGCAACTATGCAGGTGTGTATATGTGTGTGTGCATGAGCAACTATGCAGGTGTGTGTGCATGAGAAACCATGCAGGTGTGTGTGTGTGCATGAGAAACCATGCAGGTGTGTGTATGTGTGTGTGTGAGCAACTGTGCAGGTGTGTGTGTATGTATGTGTGTGTGCATGAGAAACTATGCAGGTGTGTGTGCATGAGAAACCATGCAGGTGTGTATATGTGTGTGTGCATGAGAAACTATGCAGGTGTGTGTGCATGAGAAACCATGCAGGTGTGTGTGTGTGCATGAGCAACTATGCAGGTGTGTAATGTGTGTGTGCATGAGCAACTCTGCAGGTGTGTGTGCATGAGAAACCATGCAGGTGTGTGTGTGTGCATGAGCAACTATGCAGGTGTGTAATGTGTGTGTGCATGAGCAACTCTGCAGGTGTGTGTGCATGAGAAACCATGCAGGTGTGTGTGTGTGCATGAGCAACTATGCAGGTGTGTGTATGTGTGTTGCATGAGAAACTATGCAGGTGTGTGTATGTGTGTTGCATGAGAAACTATGCAGGTGTGTGTATGTGTGTGTGTGTGCATGAGCAACTATGCAGGTGTGTGTATGTGTGTGCATGAGCAACTATGCAGGTGTGTTTGTGTGTATGTGTGTGTATGAGCAACTCTGCAGGTGTGTGTGCATGAGCAACTATGCAGGTGTGTTTGTGTGTATGTGTGTGTATGAGCAACTCTGCAGGTGTGTGTGCATGAGCAACTATGCAGGTGTGTATATGTGTGTGTGCATGAGCAACTATGCAGGTGTGTGTGCATGAGAAACCATGCAGGTGTGTGTGTGTGCATGAGCAACTATGCAGGTGTGTATATGTGTGTGTGCATGAGCAACTATGCAGGTGTGTGTGTATGTATGTGTGTGTGCATGAGAAACTATGCAGGTGTGTGTGTGTATATGTGTGTGTGTGCATGAGAAACTATGCAGGTGTGTGTGTGTGCATGAGAAACTATGCAGGTGTGTATCCAGTTGACTGCTCCCCTCCCTTGTCCACTAATTGAGGAGTGCCCTACCTTCAGCTAGATTAGAAACTACTGGTTGTGGGGGGCTGCAGAGATGGCTCAGCGGTTAAGAGCACTGACTGCTCTTCCAGAGGACCTGGGTTTAAATCCCAGCACCTGCATGGCAGCTCACAACTGTCTATAACTCCAATATCTGACACCGTCACACAGACATACATTTTATGTACATAAAATAAGAATAAATTTTTAAAAAGAATGATAGCTTTATAAAGAAGTTACTGATTGTGTGGAGGGCCCTGTTTACCTAGTAGCTCCTCCTTTTCTGACAGTCCATCAGAAACATATTTGGATCCACATTTTGTGCAGTTTCAAACCCAAACAAGAACAATAGTCATATTATTAAAGAAGCTCCGAGGACAGACATCAGTTTTAGATGAAGGAACACCAATTAAAACTAGAGCCAGAAGTGAATTCCAGGACAGCTAAGGCTGTTACACAGAGAAACACTGTCTGAAAACCAACAGCCCCCCCCACACACACACATACACATACACAAAAGAACAAGAATAGCAGATCAGATGGTCCATGGGGAAAATGGTTTTAGGACCTTCCTTAGATGCCCAAATCTGAGACTGCTCAGAGCTGTTGTGTGAAATGACATATTTACACATACCCTACACACATCTCCCTGTATGCCTTAACTGTCTTAGGTTACTCAGGATGCTCAGAACAGTAGGAATGTGAAGTAAGTGTGCATTGTTCTGTACTGTTCAGGAATAATGCCAGACAAATGTTGCATGTTCACTACAGATGCTGTTTTCCCTTCAGATAATTCCCATCTTGGTTAGGTCGCTTCCCTGACTCAGAACCTGTGACTACAGGGGGCTGGTCACACGGCGATGAGAAAGGCATGTGGCTCAGGACACAGGTGCTCAGAGTGAGTCAGGGGAGTGCGCTTAACCTTCTTGGCCTCTTCAGTTCAGAGCAGAAAGTCTAGCAGCATTCCCCCCAGGAGAAGAAGAACTCAGCGGGATTGAGTTATCTGACTGCTCTAACGTCACGTTTTGATGACCAGATCTCGTCATCTCTATATGGAAAGTGGAACATGCTCCCTCCCTGCTGAGGGTGACTGCTTGTGCTGTCTTAGCCTGGTGAGGTCAGGCCTGATGTAGCAGAAAGAAGAGCCACAGTGTGGCGGTGGCACCACAGATGGCCTGGAGTCACACAGTGTTCACTTCGGGAATTTGCTGTGGGAGAGGCAGGTCACTCGGGGTGTGGGTCCTGGAGGCCACTTCACTGCAGCTCATGGCTGTGGTCAGTATTTTGAAACTGCTTGAGGTCTCCGTGAAAATTATTGGAATGTAGCCCACCTCCAAGCAGAAACTCTGGGAGGTGGTCCTGGAAATGTGCATTGTAACGAACGTCCAGGTGATTGTCGACTGCTAAAGCTGGAGAACCCTGCTCCACCTCACTTCTGACCTCTGTGGCATCTTCAGCCATCACAGGAGGCCTGCAGCCACTGGACCCATAGGCTCCACACACTGTCTGTACCCAGGGGCAGCTAGGATTCTTCCGTCTGACACTCCCAGCTGAGCTATTTCTGTGGCTGCGGCCAGCTTCTCCAGTTCCTGCTGGAGTTTTTTCCTGGCTAGTGTGGTGTTTGGTTATATGTTCCTGAAATACTTTCCCAGCTGCAGCTGCAATGGTTGCATCTTATGGCCCAGGACTCTGGGGTTCAGACCCTAATTGCAGGCTCTGCCCTCTCTCCTGACTGCTTGCTCTCTCATAACCCCTGGTTATATGTTTCTTTCCTTTTAATTATTTTTCTTTTGTCTGCCACACACACACACTCACACACACACACACACATCAGACTTATTTCTTAGATTATCTTGTCTTATATTCCAACCCTGCTAGATACCTTTAGTTTTGGAAAGAAGTAGTTTAAATAAAATGAAACACTTTTTATTAAATACAGTAGATATAAGATGATTAGCAGCTAATAAATGGTATTGTCAAATCCTCACTTAGACCCCGGCTGTGTCAGACGTCTCCGCGGCTCTTCTTAGGCATCCTGCAGTGAGAAAGGTTAGGAGATGCGTTCATGGGATGGCAAACTGAACTTCCTGGGGTGATGCCCTGCTTATGTACATGAATAGAAGCAGGCAGGTGCAGCTACGTGGACCCCTTGGACCCCTTCTCTAACTAGGTCTTGTCTCCTAGCCTCCGTGTCTCCTCCAGCCTACCAGGCGACTTCCCTCTTCCCAGGCCTTAGCTCTGTCTCATTGGTTGACACCCTGAGTCAGACCCCTGGGCTACCCTGTGTTCCTGGCTGGTTGGCTCTGCAGATCTAGGGCTTCTTCAGCCAGACCTCACCAGTCTGTTTCTCTAGCTTTTTCTAGCTCCTTGACCATTATGGGAAAAACTTGCTTTAGTTTTAAAGGCGATAAATGAATTTCCTCACATAGAGAAACGGTCCCCAGCCTCAGTAACAAAAACAGCCCTAAATGCAGGCTGCTCTCCACATGCACTAGGTTGAATTAGTGATGCTTGGGTAGGATGTCCACTTAATGTGCCCTGAAGGAAGACTGGCTTCCCGGTGACTCGGTGCCGACTTTGCAGTTTCTCATAAGTTGGTTCCATTCTGAGGAAATTTACCAACACCCCCTTCCAAAGGGCGATCTGCGGAGGGAACACCTTGTTCCAAGTTCATGATTACAAACTATGGTTAATTAATTCTTCAGCTGTAGCTGAAGGCAGAGTAAAAGAATCTGAAGGCCTCCTCTTCTAAAATAACCCCGCTGGAGACGGGGACCGGGGTGATGTCTGCCTCCCTCCTCTCCAGTTACTTGGGGGCAGAGGGCAGGCATCAGGTGAGACTGGGAGCTCGCAGCTTGAGGGAGTCCCGTGGATCTGACATTCTCTGACCCCTTGCCATGCGGAGACGTGAAGAGCGAGTGGATGGGTTTCACTCTGCCACGGAGGCTGGCTTTGAAGGCGTGGTTCTTTAAAGCTCCAGGGTAATGACATGTGTTCTCTGTTTCCTCCTTGCCCTTGTGGGACCGCAGCACGTGTGGAGTGAGAGCGAAGACTGCCTGCCCTTCCTGCAGCTAGCACAGGATTACATCTCCTCCTGCGGCAAGAAGACACTCCACGAAGTCTTGGAAAAGGTCCTCAAGTCCTTCAGACCTGTAGGTGCTGCGTGGCTTCTGAAGCCTCCCCGTCCCCCTCCGTAACCGCACCGTGATAGTGGTAACCGCAGGGATGGTCGGAAAGAGGGCAAAGCCAAGATGACTGTTGTTCTCGTGTCCGCTGTTGGCCCTGCAGTATAAAGACAGCAGCCGGTGTGGGGTGTGGCAGGGCTGTGTGGTGCAGGAATGGTGGCTGTTCCTAGCATCTCTTGAGAAGTACTGACAGGGTGGAAGCAGACAGAACATTTTCTAGACAATGAAGTATTCCATTTCTCGCTCAGTAGACTCCAAATCCACCTGGAAGTAGTGTGGCTTTTGTTTTGTTTGTTTGTTTGGTTTTCTCATAGTGATGCTTGCATCGGGGACATGACCGGAAATCTAGATAAAACCTGTCCACATTTGTGCCTGTGAGGAACAGCAGTGTTAGATATTGATTCTTTTCTTCATTCTCAAAAACACTTGCCTAAAACTTGCCTCCCTTCCTGGGATTTAGGACTGTATATTTCTGTGGCAAGCTGACGGTCTGTTTTCACTATAGCTGATGACACGTGAAGTGACCGTTCACCCTAGCTTGGTGGTTCCTTACTTCCCTCTCTCTACCAAAGCTATCCGTAGCTTCACGACATGCCACGCCCTAGTTTGCTTCCCTGCCCACTGTGAATAGATTCCATGCATTCAGTACTATGCTGTGGAATTTCTGTTTCTACTTCTCCACTAAACATTTCAAGCTTGTTCTCTGGTCCAGGGAGGTCGGGTTGCATAATCTGACGTCTCAAGGTTAGTAAGCCTTTGGAGTCCTCCGTGCCTCCGGGCTGTCACGTGTGGTATCCAGCAGTTGTGTGTGGCATTGTCTAAATGCAGGTTCATGGACAGGAATACATTGAGGCCCAATATGACAGTACCTTCCAGAAAGGACTTTTGTTGGCCCTGCCGAACTTGAGAGCCCTATCAGCCTGTGGTAGCCTTCAGTACCTGATTTGTAGTTCCCAGAGACTCTAAGTGATAAAAAGACAGGTTCAGATCTTGTCTCTTTAGCTCATCTTTGTTCCAGGAGTGTGGGCCTTTGGGGTGGCTCTAAGTTAAAGTGGGGACCCTGCTGTAGTGTGTTCCCATAGGGGGCCCTCAGCTTTGACCCTTTTCTTCATAGTTCTTAGAACAGTCTAAAACACAATATACTTTCTTGCTTCCCCAGTCAGGTTAGGACAACCTCCCTGGCTTCCAAGTCTTCACCATATGGAAGAGGCTATTTCCATATGAAATGCTTGAAACTGTCTTAGCTGTTCTCAGTAGCAGGGTTGGTCCTATTTATTCAGTCCACTATTATGAGAAATGGAACTTCGGTGGTTTTCATCACATTCTCTTATTGCAGCCATTCATCTGGTCTTCTGTTCTTTTTCTTGCTAATTTTCTAAGCCACTTTGGCTTTCAAGGGCCTGTGTGCCCCCCTTGGGTCTGCTGTCAGCATGTGGTGAATGCCCACCAAGCCGTTCAGACCATTTCCTGCTCTGCTCCTAGCATAGGAATCAGGCAGTGTGATCCCCTTTGGGGAAGACAAGGTAAGCAAGTGTGTCCGCAGCAGGTGCCAAGTAGGCAGGAACTAAACCTAGGATGGGGGTGAGAAGCATTACCCTGAAACTGTCAGGAGAGAGCTAGGAGTCTTCGGTGAGAAGGATATTTTGGAGTCAGCAGTGATCATAAGGAGAACCAGTGGGGGTGGGGGCCGGGTGTCCAGGCACAAAGACTAGCGGGTCTGAAAGCCTAAGGGCAGGCCTGTGTGCCTGGTGTAGGAGGTATCTGTGTGGCTCCAGGGGTTTGGAGTTGGGGACCTGGGCACGGTGAGAGGGAGGTCCAGGAGGACATCAGGTCTCATAGCTGTGGAAGGACTTGGCTTTACCAGTCATGGAGAGCCCAAAGATTTAGAGCAGGAGGGCCGTGGTGATGTCCTGTTTTGAGAGGTTCCCTCTTGCAGACTGGAGTGCTCACAGATTGACTGTCAGCAAGATCCAGTGTCATCTTCCAGGCAGATGTGAGGCCAGCTCAAAAATAGCAAGAGTGGAGCAAGGGCCTTGAATGCTGGAGATGCCTGGAAAGTAGACCCAGCTGGCCTCGCTCTTTGATTGAATCGAGTGTGAGAAAATGAGAGAAAGATGGAATCTGAGTTTCCTGGCCATGCAGTGAGTCCTTGGAAATACCCCAGGTGGGATAGACTACCCTACCCCTTGCTATGTGGCTTCTGGCAGTTTTCTTAGCTTCTGTGTTCCCATCTTTAAAAGCGGGCTGGCTTCAACTTCACCGTGGATCCATGGACAATGTCGAAAGCACACTGTCAAAGTCCAGCTGCCCTGGGATAGGGACGTGGTCACTGATGCAACTGTCCATCTTTTCACCTCGCGTGACCCTCATTTCTCTCCACCAGAGGAGCCTCCGGCCTCATGAAGGAGGATCTGGGGCCCGATTCTTTCCCCCTCACCATGAGCGTGTCAGATAGCATTGATGCATGAATGCAAATGACACTGCCACTCATGGTTGCCACCCGAGGGTAGCACTGCTCTGGTAGTGACTTCAGAGACCCCTGGCAAACGAGGACAGTCGTTTCCTCACTTACGTGACTCCTGGGGGACTCTCGCTGGCCATCGCCATGTAGACATCGATAATGGGCCAGTGATTTCGGTCCTCACTACTGGTGACCGTGCCCGTCACTTGTGTCTGTTTCATTTGATGGTGAGTGTCAGACTTGATTGCTGGTAAGCAAGCAGACGTAGAGAGGAGAGATGGTCTTCCAGTGCCAGAGCCCCCCAGTTACATGAGCATGAAGGATCGCTGCTCTCCCAGTGAGCTGACTTCCTCCGCTCTCTCCTTCATGGAGGTTGGGGCCTGTAACTGTGCCCGTGGCAGTGGTGAGCGCTGTTTGGCTGATGTTGCCGTGACGGCCCAGCCTGGCATTAGTTCCTGTGGCTCCCATGGCTTCTTCCTCTGAATGGCCCAGTCTTCTTGCTGAGGATACTGTGTGGCACTGTTTCTTTTCTCAAGAAGGGGCTCCTACCAGAAGAACACTCCCTTGAGTCTAGACACGGACCTGAGGGAGGCTAGTGTTTTTAGGTTGCATCCAGTGGTCCAGGGAGCCAGGGATGATTCCACACAAGAAATCCTTCAAGGCCCAGAGCAGAGCAATTTCTGTTTCTGCTCCTACCATCTGATTAGCAGCCTTGAAGAGATGAAGGAACCCTCTGGTGCTAAACTTGCCCGGGTGGGACAGAAAGTCTAAGAAAAACGTTGCCCGTGTGGATATGCATGAATGACAATAAATATTAGAAATTTAACTTTTTCATATCTTTTGTTTTCTGCTCATGTTGTGGACATTCAAACCTTGTGGTTCTTTAGCGGGGCAGTGGTGAGCGCCTGCAATGCCAGTGTTCAGGAGGCGAAACAGGCAGATCTCAGCATGGAGCAAATTCCAGGACAGCCAGGCTATACAGAGAAACCCTGTCTCGATGGCAAAACAAAACAAACAAACAACAAGAAGACCCTTGTTGGTTGTAGGAAGGACATTGCCCCCTATAACCCGCATCTGCCCCTCCTGCCCATTTGACTCCTACCTCATCTCGCAACTACCTCTCCATCCTAATATAGGGAAGACTGGTTGAAACTCAGCATGAGTTTTAGGATTAAACAGTTTCAAATCCCCCAAATGCTTTACCCAGTCTTGCTGCCCATAGTAGGGCTTCTGGGCCCTCTTGGAGCAAATTAGAAATGTGGGGACCCCCGGGCTCATTGATCCAGGGTCTGCCTTGTAGGTAGTGTTCTTGGTGACTCGGAGACACCGTTAAGTGTGGGAAATGCTGGTTCTCCCTTGGAAGAAGTGTGCAGGGATGCCCTGAAGCCCCAAGGACATACTACATACACCAGAGCCGTAGCTGACCCAGGATGCTCTAGAAGCCCCATAAGCCTTCTCCCTCAGCATAAAGACACCAACCCGAATTGCCTGATCTGCGTCTTTGCAGGGTGCCACATGCCGGCCACAGCCTCGAGTGATTTGCACCTTTGTCCACAGGACCTGAAATTAGTCCCACAGGTGACCAGGGCCTAGAGAACTTCAGTTCTCAAGTAGCTCTTCCTTTTCCAGCAGGGGCCTGTGTGCCCTGGTGGACCTAGCAGTCTGTAACTGTGGACTGTTCCAAGGGCTGTTTTGTGGTCAGCAAGGCCTAGGAATGCTGGTGTGTTCCTGCATACAGTGAGCAGAAACTTGTTTGAGTCTCAGGCTGCTGAAAAAAAATTATAATCACTGAACTAGGATTGTACAGTTATAGCCATCAAGAATCCTTTAGACATACCAGGCCTGTCAAACGGGTTTTGGCTGCTTCCATTTTCTCGTAGGGACATGTGGGCACAGTCACAGTGCTCTTTGCCATGCTGTTTGTCATCCCACCTCTGATTTAGGTCCTCCACCACCCATGGCATGTGACAGTGGTGCTGGGTTGTTCCACATCTGCATGGTGCTTCTGGAACTCTGCTCTGGTAGTTTGCCATGCTTCAAGGGCTTCTAGGTTGTCATGATATATAAACATTAGTTGCGTACATTTCCCACTGAGGATACCAGTTAGAAACCGTGGAAACTTCCAAGTGCCAGGCACATCATTGACAGGCATCTCTACAGTAGCCAGCCTGGTGGGTAAGTGTGGGAAGTCTTCAGGCCAATCTCTAGAGTCTGGGTGCTGGCTCTGCCATGTCCTAGGTGACTCTGGATAGTCTCACAGCGTCTCCTGGTCGTGAGAACCACATGTAAAGCTGCTTGAGATAGCCACAGGCACACACGGTTTTCATTCTTCCTGAAGCGTGGCAGACTTGTCTGTCTCATCAGAGCGCTAACTCCAAGTCCAAGGATGGAATACAGAGGCTAGCGGGGAGTTCTTTCTTCCTGCTCCTGCAGTGCTCACTCCCAGCAAGGACCGCCTAGAGCCAGCTCTGCAGGAAAAGAGGCAGGAGGAGGCTGGAGTCAGGCTACTTGGGCAGTGGAAACTCCCTAGACAGCCCAACAAGATGCACATCTGTAAGGCTGGACAGTGGGCAGACTGGCTATTCGCTTTTGCCTCTGAGCTGGAGTCTCTCTGAGTTCTAGCTGATGTCATACGTACTGCTGTACAGAGAAGGGTGCGTGCCAAGGGTCAAAGGCTTCCAGTCTGCAGGCCAAGTGACATTTTCCAGCCTCTGGGTGTGTTTGTAGAATCTGTACCAAGGAACCTCAGAAGTCCGAAGCCACTACAAATGGTGTCTTCTCTTCCCCACTCTGGAACTGCAAGGACGTACTGGCAAAATAGTCATATACGTGAGATAGATATAAAAATATTTTTTAAAGACGCAATGGAAAAAAGTCCACAATCCCAGTTTTATAGAAATTCTTTACACTCCCCCACACACATGCACACGCACACGCGCGCGCACACACACACACACACACACACACACACACACACACACACACACAGAATGTTTACACAAATAGAAAGGGCGAGTGAGATGACCAAGTCTGAGGACCTAAGTTCTACATCTAGTCTTTGCATGGCGGAAGGAGAGAAGCAGCTCTTGCAAATTGTCCTGTGACCAGACACACGCTGTGACATGCAAACACACAAAATAAATAAATGTAAAATTTTAAAGAAAACTCAATATGTGAGTATATTTAATTACAGTCTATCTTCCTGTACATCCATATGAATCTTAAGAAAATCTGTATCATAATAAATCTGTAATTTTATCACGGTTTTACATTAATGTACCTCTTATATCATTAAATAATTTAAAATCCAATTTTAAGTATATGGAGGATCCTATCTTACTGCCATGCCATAGAGTATAGCCCTTTGCTACTGAACATCCTAGTTGTCTTAGCATTTTTATCTATGCACTACTCATAATAAATAACACCGCGTGTTTGGGGGGAGAAAAATAAAGCAGAGGATTGACTTGGGGACGTTTTGAAGGGACATCAGCACTGCTCATGGTGCGATTCACCAACACTCCAGCTGCACCTGGTACAGGTGTGGTTTGTGGCCTGTGCTTTGACATTTAAGAGAGCGCCTCTCAGAGGTAACCAGTGACATTGGTGAACCGTGAAGACTCTTGGATGTGATTTGTAAAGGCTGTGGTGGGGGAGTTGAGTTTGGGCATGCGCTGCCTGTGTTCAGCGGCTGCATTGGGTGCAATGTCTTTGGTCTTCTTTCTGCCTGGAGTCTGGGCAATGCTTACAGCTGCTGCTTTTCTTGTCCAATTCTTTCTCTGTAGCTGCTGGGGCTCCCAGATGCAGATGACGACGCATTTGAAGAGTACAGTGCGGATGTGGAGGAGGAGCCAGAGGCGGACCACCCCCAAATGGGGGTCAGTCAGCAATAAACTCCTAGGTCACCTTCCAGAAGGGGATGAAGCCCTGTGCTGCCTGCCGATGGGGTCCTGTGCTCCTGAGGTAGCCTTTTGTATTAGCTCTTCAAAACAGGACATCGGGCTCCCGACATCCAGCTGAAAATGAAATACCTTTTAAATGACCACACAGTGTCTGTGATGAGCTTTGCTCAGAGTGATCAGAATTTCTGCCCCCACTCTGGCGGGGGTTTCTATGGAGGTGTCTCGGTAGCCTTTGCCACTTTGAAGTTAGAACCCATGTTGTGGCTGCCTGTTCCCTCTTGAGTTTATGTTGGAGAATTAACGTTTGCTGATTGGAATGTAGAGAACTCCGAATGTATTAGGGATGTGTTTTGAGTCCTCCCAGGTGACCTTGCTGAGGAGAAGCATGACGGAGGAGAAATGCAGCCTGCACTCTTCATGTACCTTTTAAGTGTCCGTAGGTGAAAGGTTTTGCTTAGAAAGCATGAGTTTTGATATCTAGTCGTGAAATGCAGAGGGCGAGGGTGGCTGAGGCTCCTTGGAGTCTCGCTGGTGCTGAATTGGTTACCTGGGCATGCTAGCCACTGGTTAGTGTAAATGTTTTGTGGTTGTTCGAACATTTTAAACCATGCTAGTTCCAAAGCCACTTTTAAATTCTACTAGTGGGAAGTATGGGTGGGGTGAAAGATATAAATTATTGATTCCTTTGAGCTGTTTCTAAACCTGCATATGAAGTGAAACCTTTACCCTCTTCCTTTATGAGACGGCAACTTGTTAAATCATGAAAACAACCAGAATCCGAGCAAGTACTCCTTAGGCTTTGAAGCCACTGATGAAATCTAATAGGAAAATAAACCAGGATAAAAAAATTAATATAATGAAATCCTGTACTTTTCTAATCTTTTATTCTTTAGAGAATGTCAAGAAAAGTCTCCCACTGAGTTAATTTATTTAAAATTATAATTAAATACTCCAGGGAGCCTACATGCAGTGAAATTTTAAAGGGACATGAAAGTGGGAATCTTAATTAGAGGATTGCTTGCTTAAAAAGAGGACGTTTGTAATGAGCAGGACACACAGTCAGAAGTAACTGCTGTCATTATTTAGTCAATAAATACTTACCAGGATATTCTCTAATGCTGTTATAAGACCCTTCTGTGTTTGGGGTTCTCATAACTTAGGATGCAAGAGCCCCCTTACATCTCTTAATTCCTCCAGTCATCCAGTTTGGGAATGTTCACACACACACACACACACACACACACACACACACACACACACACACGTCATCAGTATTTTAAGCTAAAAACAAACCAAACCCACAGTGGCAGAAGCTTGTGTTTGTGGCAGCGGTGTCTGGGCATTTTCTGTTTGATTCAGTGGTACCGTGAAAGGCCCCGCTGCCCCTTGGTGCACTGCAGAGTTCAGTTCCTGGGTGATGTCACATCGTGGTTTCCATCTGTGCTTTGTACCTGTGATTTTATTTTCTGGAGGAAACTTATTAATGGTTAATCTCAAGCTGAGTTACTTCCCTTGAAGTCGCCCCTTAGCAAAGTCAGACTTAGTGCTCCTTCCAAGGTGTGAGGTCCAGTCCTACCTGTGCCCCACCCACCCACCCTTTCTGCTCACAGCCTGGAGACTGAGCTCTCTGACTTGTAGATGTGGTCCTTTTAAACATGATAGGCCACACAGATAAATGGCTTTTGTTGGTAAAATGAAGATACCTGAGCAGTTTGCTCCATTATGAGGTAACCTGGAATTTTATACAGAGACTTCAAATCTAAATTTACATGTGTTTGGACATTAATATAAGATGGATTTTTATCAAAAAAACATATTTAAATTTTGACCAAATATACTTGGTATTCTCATATTGGTGTTCTCTATTTCTACAAGTTAAGACCCCTGGTGGTGCAGTGGGCTGCTGGAAACTGGTCTTTCTTCTGCCCAGGGGTCAGGAAGAAAGACCATCCCTGGATGTGGCTGATTTCCATGACAAAACGCCCAGGCATCAGCATATGCACTGTCCTTGCGAACCTCCTTCTCTGCTGTCATGTGTGTATCCCTTCCAGTGTGCACCTGTGTGTGCAAGCATGCTCACACCCGCTCCTACCCATTCTGTTGACCCTCAAATCACAGTTGGGGTTGAAGGCAGACAGCCTGTGGTTAGTGATGCAAACAGCTCCTCAGTGAGACCCTCCCCTAGCCTACAGAGGCATTCCAGTGGCAACCATGGGGTGGGAGGAGAAACACTTACTTCTAGGGTTGACTCAGCCCTTGACTGCAGGACGTGGATAAATCATGTAACTTTTCTACGTAACAAGGAGGGGTATTTGCTCTTGTAGCTTTAAAAACCCGACTGATGCGGCTGCCGTAGGAAGTGTGTGAGCCAGAGAGCAGCAGTTGAGGACAGTGAGGGACATGGGAAGAAAATAATTTGGGATTTTGCCAAAGATGATGCCCTTAAGATGTTGGCCATGCCACTACCTTAGAACATGGTGGCAGCGGGTGTCCAGATCCCTGGAGCCTGATGTGGGCTCCGTCCCAGGCAACCAAATGAAATTCTGTTGCTTTGAGAAATGGGGAATCAGAAGCCCCTGAAGATGGTTTGCCTCTGCTGAACCTGCTCTGCCAGGGGTGGGCAAAATTGCTTTTTGGTCCCGCCCCCCCTCCCCGTTCCCCCTCTGAAGGCTTTGGAGGTGGTCGGCAGTTAGCGCAAGAGGGGAAATGGGCATGAAGAACAGCTGGCGATGAATGGGTGGTGAGCACTTTGCCTGTCCTGTCACTCTGGAAGAGAAAACGACAGTGAAAAACTTGTCAGGCAGTCAACAGAGTGAGAAGAAACACACGAGGGAAAGACTGATTGCTGACCAACATGACCAGGGAGGGACTGATTGCTGACCAACATGACCAGGGAGGGACTGATTGCTGACCAACATGACCAGGCTGTGAAGTCTGAATCGTACCATGACAACAATACAAAGCCTGACCTTAGCGCTGACTGACCCACGGAGACATTTTCCTCCTATCCGACTGATTACCCTGCCTGGTAATAGCACTGAGCAGGCTTCAGGGATCCAAGTTCAGAACCGGGGAGGGTAGTGAAGCATTGCCTGGTACACTTGGGTTCAGTCCCACAGAATTTGTGACTCCTAGGCCCACTGCAGCACATGGTACATTTTGTGTCTCCATGACCAGAGCGCACAAAACGTCTGCCACATGATGAGATTGTCCTTTGCACACTGGTGCCAGTAAAACTGAAGCACACTGGGAGTGAGTGACACCAGTGTTCAGTACAGGCAGAAACTTCTCTAGCACAATGCATGTTGAATATTGTTTCAGTCTCTCAGAGCACAAAGAGTGTGTCCAGGGTGTTGTAGTTCCAGAGCGGAATTATTAGTTTTTGCATGTTAAAACTCACCAGTTGGGAAAGTTTAATCAAATCGGGTTTTCTACAGTGAGAGGAATGTAGGAATGAACAAGACTTAATGTGGGTTGGGAGATGAACGGCGACCGTGAGAGAGTTAGGTCTCAGTCCACCCGGGTTGTAAACAAAGCACAAAGCCCACACTTACCTCCTGGGGTACAGGACAACACGTGTTTTCTTGGCTGTCTCTGGAGGGCTGCTTTCCTCAGAGCCTGGTTGTTCAGAGGGTGCTGATGATGGCTGTGACTTTCCCAGTGCCCCCTGCCAAGCCAAGGGCAAGGCAGGTGTGCTGTACACCTGGTGGAATTCCTTCCCGTAAAATAAAATCAGCTGCTCGCCTGAGAAGCAAGCCTTCCAGAGTGCTGGCCCCGGCTGGAGTGGCTGCGATGGCAGCTGGGGCACCGGGAGCCATACCTGCCCTCTCCCACTAGTGCTTCAGTTGTCAGTTTCTGCACTAAGCCTTGAGGAGATGCCATGCATGGCTTGTGGCATCGTTTACAGACGTGCATAAAATCTTTTTTGCATTAGAAACCCCTCTTTCGTACAAACTCAGTTAACCTTGGTTTAATGGTAACTAGTGTGATTTGAGAAACCGAGGTCTTTTAGGTTTCATACGGATTAGGTGTAAAACTTGCCAGAACGCTGGTAGTCTGTGGTCTGTGGCAATGGCCATGAGCATTTCATGTTAGGAGCCGCATTCTCCACACTGTAATGCTGAATAGTTCCAAGCAGCTTAAAGTGTGTACCAAGCTACGTAGGAATTAACATTCGGTTCGCTTAGGGATGTGTTCAAGTTGTTCAGCATAAGGGAGGAAGCTGGCCGTGTGCTCTTCAAACCTTTTCCTGGGCTTTCCTTCGTTTTTGTTTCTCGAGATTCTATTTTAGCAGGTACCTTCTGAATTGGCCAGGACCAATGCTCTATACAAATGACAGCTTTTCTAGAAGGCGCTAAAATAAATATTCAGTGCTGGGCAGGCCCAAACCCAGGTACAGTCCAGTGCTAATTTGTGTACAAGCAGGATTGCAGCCATCTCCAAAGAAGCAAATCAGAAGAAACAGAAGCAAGGGCCCTTGCTGTTCGGTTTTTGGTTTTTCGGGTGGGGAGTTTCTCCTGTGTGGTGCCTACTCTTCTTTGCGTTCACATTTCCTTTCAGACAGCGCTCTTGTAAACGACAAACTGTGACATGGGTTGCCAAAAACTGTGCCCTTTCTTAGATGCTTCAGACAGAACTGTGTAAATTCTCTCTGCACCCTGTCCCATCTGCTCCCTCCTCCCTCCCATGAGAGCAAGGACCACATCCAAGGATGTAATTACCATAAGCTTGCTATTAAAGAGCCTTTCAGCCCTAGTGGTATTTGCTTTTTTTTTAAAAACTATTTCGACAGAGTTTGGTTACAGAATAGTATATGTGATTTATAAATGTGTAACAAAGACCGTGGATACAGATGGGTGGGGGCAGTTACATCAAAGGTGTGGATTCACGAGTTTGGGAGCGTACATCTAACTTACACCCTGGCTAGTGTTCAGCAATGTTTCATCTCCCTTTGAACTAGTGCTGGTTTCGTCTGTCAGGTTTCCTTTTTGCAAACCTGGTTATGAACCCTTTGTGGCACAATTAGAAACATGTGTCCTGTGACAGTTCAATAAGGACATGAGGTTTCCTCAACACCTTTGTTCCCGGTAGCTGTCCGTCACTAGATTAAAGGCATTTCAGTGGGGGCTCTGAACGCTAGCAAGTTTCACTCTTTGGTTAAAGATCAAGTTTTTCCCTCTGAATGAGGGGGGTCTCCAAACTTGAGAGTGACTTAGCAAACCCACCTTGTGGCTGTGTGTGTTTTCATAATGTCGCTGGGAGTCAGTCCTTGGCTTTCGCCAGAGACTCCAAGTCCAGAGTAAGTCTGTGTGTGAACGTTCTAACCCTCTCTAGTAAGCCTGGCTCCAGAAGGGCCGTGTAGACAGATTTTTATCGTGGGAAAATTCCTGTTTCTCCGACTTGCTCACACAGGCTCCCCTGGCCCCTTTATACGCAGGGACAGACACTAGCATTACTCACCTCTCCTCTCATTGTAGCTAATCTCTGAAATCACTTGGCAGGCAGCAGGTTCTGGCCCAGACAGGTCCCTGACAGTCTTTGTGGCACTACTCATCCCCCCATCTCCTTGTTTTCTCATGGGTAAGAGTAAGGATGGTGACCTCATCTTGGATTTCCTTGCGGGAGGACGGGTAGAGAGCACCTGGCTCTGCTGTAGAGGAAGAAACGCCACAAGGTCCCATAAAGCCACAATGGCGGCCTGCACTGTTACGCTTGTCTCTGGTTTACCTCAGCCTTCCTAGGATCCCCTTTTCCCAGTGAAGAGCCACAGCTGGGTATCAGCCCAAGTGCCTGCTCGAAAATGCCACACCCTGTCCTGCCACACATCCCTTCTCTTTTAGGAGATCTCAGGACCAAACTACAACAAAGAGGGAAGGCAGGGTTCCTTGCTTAGGGACGTAATAAACATCTTGTTTCCACAGTGAAGTCGGGCAGGTGAGGTGGGTACCACAGTATCCCCAGAGCTTGCTGAGCACACACAGGTGGATTCACAGAGCATGAAAAGAAACAAACCCCACAGCCCAGTATTTGGAGGCACCAGGGCTAGGTGTCCAGCCCAGTGTCCTGATGAATTGGGCAGCCAAATATTCTTCCATTTGTCATCTTGGAGTTTGGGAACAAGGTTGAAATGCCTCCTGAACCAGCTGACACTTAGTTTTTTATACCATAATAGGCACAAACCCCCTCTGAATCTGTCCCATCTCCCCCGTTTTTTGAGTAGAAAGCAATGATGCTTCTAAAAGCCTGGGTAAGCTGTAATTAGACAACCAAAGAGCAAGTGTGGAAGGCGCACCAGCCGCTTCTTTCCAGGGAAACTGCCCCCAAAGTGGATGTCAGTGCCAGCCAGGCTCAACGTGAAGCGAGTCCTCCGGGATGCCTTTTTAATCGGAAGCCTCTAGAGGTCAGCACAGCATAAACAAAGGCTCCCTTAATACTGAGGCCACTCTTCCCCGCGCAGCCTTAGGGAGGAGCCAGCCAGGGCAGGGCAGGAAGGCAGGAGGCTCCCTGGTTGGTGTCTGGTGTGTTTCTGCTGTTCCCACACCTACGTCTCAAACTGTCTGCTGATTGACAGGCACACAGCTGAAGCACCTGAAGCCACAGCTACATCTCGTCCTGAGCAGACCCGGGGCTCCTCCTTTTGCTAAACTGCCGCCCACTATCAGTGGGCTTGGGGAGAACCTAGTCAGGTCCCTATAGAGCCTGTGCGGGTCACAGATGGGGGGTTGGGGGTGGCTACAAACTGCTAGAAACCAGGGCTCCAAGGAAAGGAGCAAAGCTCCAGGCAGGAGATGCCCCAGGCTTCACAGGACAAGCTCCAGTGTCAAAGGGGGATCTGGAAACCGCCAGAAGCTTCCACAAAAAGAGCAAATATTAAAAAGGTTTTTCTCTCTTTTTCTTGTTGCCTGTTCTGTTCAGGGCTTTTCTTGTTTCTGCCTCCCAAGGACACTTAACTGACACCCCCAATCACATGCCATCAAAGAGGGTCTTTTGGTGGGCACTGGAATGCACCCAGGACACAAACGTGGAGAAAGGATATTGGTGAAAATGTCAAAATATTTCCCACTTGGTAACTTAGTTTGATTTAAGCCATTAAATTTCAAAACGATGGCTTTTTTTATCCCAATGAGTGTAGACTACGTGCTATTTATAGTTCCAGAACAGCCTGGTGACTTTCCAGTCCTTTTTTTCTCATGAATTAAACAGTGCTGAGTGAGTAGGCTCAAGCTGTGTGTGCCTATTACATACTAAACCTGCTTTTTAAAAAAATGGTCTCAGCCTATCCTGGCCTTCAGCAAGCCTTGTTGCCAAGGCGCTTGAACCTTCGGTCCTCCTGACAGACAGCAGTCACTGGGATTGTTACGTTGTTACACTCTGAATCCCTTTTAGTTGTTTTCATTTCCTCACCAGTTCTATAAGGTAGGTGTGTGTGTGTGTGTGTGTGTGTGTGTGTGTGTGTGTGTGTGTGTGTGTCCACTATCTGACCCAAGATGAGGAAACTGAGGCAGGGAGAAGCTAAGTAATTTTCACAAGATCACAGTTAGGAAGCTCCAGGACTGGCATTCAGATCCAGGCAGCCTGGCCTCCGAGCAGTGTCCGCTGCTCTGCTCTGCCCGGTATGGGCCCCTCCTGGCCTTTTCAGCAGCTCCACGAGTCTTTCCTGCCTTTTTTGCTGCATCGGAATCTGCAGTCCTATGGCCCGAGCACAGGATGGAATGTTGACAATGTTTCAACTCTTTGCTTCGTCCTTGACCAGATTAGCCTGCTGCTGGACGCCTTGAAAACAGTTTCCAATATCCAGGTCCTGGTACAGACAGGCAAGTGGCTTTGTAGATACGAGAATGCTTAGAGCTGGTCAAGGCTGAGGGAACAACCCACTTGCTTTCCTCTTTGTCCTCTGTATGGTCCTTCACGAGGCCATCACAGGTGACTCTGTCTCTCCTCGTGATGAAGGGCTTTTACCCCAAGTCCCCTGAAACTTTGAGCAGCAGAAATACAACCCCTAGTCAGGCCGAGTATAGAAGCAGGAAGTAAATTCTTCTGGCTTCTGGTCCCTGGTCAGATTCAATGGGGTTTCAGCACACACCAAGGACTAACCTCACAACATGCCAGCCTCCCGCATTGTGCTCCTACCCCGCCCCGTGCTCCCATCCCGCCCAGTTCATCCATGCTGTGTCAGGAGCACACCTATCATTTCAAGCCTCAGGTAGAGGCGGCAGGAAGGACACCACATTTCAAGTCACATTCATTTTACCTTTGAGCTGGCTGCTTGGGAGGCTTGTGGCTGCCACAGTTGCCTCCATTAGCAAGAAAGAAAAGCCCAGAGAAAGTATTGGGTCTCAGATCTGCTTTTCTGCATCTAGGATCCCCAGTGACAGGGATCTTGGGCTTCCTGGGGAGTGGCTGTGGAGAATATGCTAAGCTCAGCAGTATTTCTCTGGCTTCTGAAATGGTGTACAGAGAAAAGGTATGCCTAAAGGAACCCATGGAGACAGAAATGTTCTAAGAGCCACAGAGCAGCCCAGGAGAGGGATCTGCATCACAAAGTCACAAAGAAAGTTTACCTCTCTGGGTCTGACTCTTAATTCCCACAGAAATTTGGTCTTCTAGATGGCTGGTTTCTACTAAGAAAAGTTAAGGGGACCCTTGACTGGGGCTATAACAGACCCTCAAAATGAAAACATGTACTGGGTATGGTGGACATGCCTATAAATCTCAGCTATTTAGGAGGCTGAGGTAGGAGGGTCATGAGTTCAAGACCACACTGGGCTCTATAATGAGTTCAGAACCAACCTGGACAACTTAGGAAAACCCTAACTCAAAGATGAAAAAACTTATTTTTAAAGGCTGGGGTGTATGTTGTTCAATGGTAGACCAGTTGCCTAGCACAAAAGAAGCCCCAAGTTCACTAACTAGTAATAGTTAAAAAGAAAGAAAGAAAGAAAGGAAAAAGAAATCATGAGGGATCAACTTTAGTATGGGCTGTCCAAATTTTAAATGGGTGAATCAGGTGCTTGCTGGAGTCAAAAATGGAACTCTATTCACTGGAAATGGTATGAAATTCATGTGACCCTCAAGTCAGGAACATCCCTGGAAAAGTTCTCCTAGAGTCTAACTTTCACACCAGAATCACCCCATTCTAGTCCCTTCTGACCCACCTTTACAGACAGATCTCAGACTGTGAACCCCATGCCTGTAGATTCTACATCTGTGATAGCAACCAAATATTCAGGAAGAAATAAGCTGGCCATCTAAGCTGAGTATATGACAGGACTGTCACTTATCCTTGTTCCCTAAAGGGTACAGGATGCCAACTATGTTATAATATTTGCATGACAGAAGGCATTATAAGTAAAGATGTTTTAAGAATATGGGAGCAAGCTCACAGATTATATGCAAATAGGCATCTGAAGATTTGGTACTTGTCAGGGATACTGAACAATTCACCCCAAGTCCCAAGGGACAACTGTAATTCAAAATCCATTGTTTTAGTGTGGGCCAATACTTATCAAAACCTGCCTTTCCTATCTCCAAGTGACCTTAATTTTCACACTGTACTTGGACAAAGAAAAAGTTCTATATGAAAATTACTCTTAATAGTTGAGAAAAAGACAGGAGGACATAGAGACAAGCAGAACACTGCCCCGGGCACACGGGATGGGGGAGGCGCACATGGGGCGCTCACCCAGAAGGTAACTCGAGCAGTTCCTGCCTCAGAACAAATGCACAGCCCCCAGACTCTCAAGTCCAGTCCCAGG